ATTTAAATAAATTTAAATAAAAAAATAGAATTTTTATTATTTAAATATAAATTCTATATTTTAACAAGTATTTTATACTGTTAGATAGTAGAGAAATCGAGTATTTAAGCATTTACTGTATATCAGTAAAAATAAAAAAATTGCGTTAATTTGGTTTATATATTTTGCCGTTACATTGCGCATGTAAGCTTTAAACTACAGTCAGAAATATATATTATTTTTATATGAATTTATTAATTATAATAAACATACATTATGTCTAAAATTTAATTAAAATAGCACTCTCTAATTAACATCTTAAATGAAGAAGTAATTAAATCGGGTCCCGCCGCCATCTTAAATAACGCGCGACGGTAAATAATCGATTTTGAGCGCGTCGCGTTGAATCAAATTAAATAATTTATAAAAATTAAAATAATAAGTATGTTTACAAAATAATTGACTATATCTATTCGCAATAGTACTGTAAAACACATCGTACTTATAGTTTAGCATTTCTGATAACAATTAATTAATTTTTGAATTTTTTTATATTTTATATATAAAATGCGAATAAAAAAACATAAATGCGTAAAACTTAATTTAAAAAATATCTGCAACTTCAGAAAACACATATATATTATAATCTATCAAAAAAAGTTAGTTAATAATAATTAAAATCGAGAAAAAAAATAAAACTTTCGAGGTAAAATAATTTCTGTGGTAAAAAGTGAGGTAAGCGATCACGTGACGCCCGTCTCCCCATCGTCTATAACCAAAACGGCCGAGGGTGAAATAAAAGCGAAAACATCAGTAGAAGTAAAAACAAACATCGGCGCGTATCTAGGACTATATATTTGAACGGGAGCGAAGATGAAACACGACACTTTGTAATTTATGATAATTACCTTCTAATATTAAAAAATTAAAATCATCAAAAAATTATAACAAAATTAAAATTTTTTGACTAAACTCGACTACAAACATATCTTAGAACTGGATTAAAGTAAAAGTACCCGTTTTTCGACGCTAAATTTTTATTAATTAATTTTTTAAATTGGTGCCTAATTGACCGAGCGCGCGTAATTTAAATTTGATGGAGCACGCGCGTGCCGACGGGTTAACCTTGATATTCTGATTATTATTTGGCATTGTAATTAAGGACATTAAGATTATTACTTATACTTGTAATCTTAAAAATTTTTTTTGTAACTTTTTCTCTATGAAATATACCACCCCCTAACAGGGAAAGTATCCCTTTTTGTGAATAAACCATTATTATTATAATTAATTAATTAAATAAAAGTTTAGTTTCAGATAATCTCTTCTGTTCATATCATATAAAAGTTTATAATAAATTCTTATGCATTTAAAACTGATATTGACTGAAATATTTAATTGATTATGCAGATATAACATTCAAAGCACCCAAGAGAAGAAATGAAGAACAAACCTTCTAAAGATGGTTTTTTTGAAGGTGTCGAATGTGCTTGATATAGATGATCGGGATTCCTTCTGTATTTTTGTCTTCCTCCTCTTACTCTGTCTAATCTAACACCTATTTAAATAAATTTGTAATTCAAATATAATAATAATCAAAATATTACTCTAAAAAATTATAAAGTAAAAAAAATCAAAATTTTGATCTTTAAAATTTAATCTTAGAATTCTATTTGACATAATCTGAATTCATAACAACTGTGATAATTAACAGGTAAGCAAATATAATCTTAAATAAGACTAATAAAGAATCACGCTTATTATAGATAATAAATATTTAACAATATAATTCAATATTCTGTTTGTAATAGAAAATGCATATTTATTATAAGATTTATTAAAAGAAATATAAAAAATTGAATTATAAATGGAACATATAAAATTCATAAATATTTTAAATGTAATAATTAAAGCTGAGTGTACAGTATATTAAATAATCCACTATATTATCTCAATTCAATTAATAAGATTCAGTTATTAATAATGTACTGTATTTATTCATTGAAAAATACCTAATAGCATAAATACATAATAAAATTAAAAAGTTGTTTATGAGATTTTTATGACACACACAAATTTTTAATAACAAATACTACCTTCAATTACATTTTTAAAAAAACAAAACTTTTATTTTTCTTCAAGTTAACTCTGTTTTTAATGGAATAATAAAAAAGGAAGAAATAGCTGCTGGATAATAGATTCAAACTGTCTTTCCAATCTTTGGAAAAATGATCCAAAAGTCTATTAACAAGTTAACCTTGTCCATAAGTTACTAAATAAGCTAACTTTCAGAAAATCATTATCAATAGCATATACATTCTCTCTTTAAAAGGTATATCTGAAGCATTCAATAATATGATTATTACTAATAACTGTATTTATTGTTGGAAATTTCATATATGTAATCAATCTTCACAATGGGTTTTTCAGAATTCAAAGATAGGAAAAAAAATCAACTGTAAGGTAAATCTGTTGTCTAATACAGCAGTTCACAAAGTGTGTGCCTGTAAGGAAGCTGCAGCTTCCTCACGGGTGCCATGAAATGTTAGAAAATTTTTATGATCAGTGAGTCTGCTGGGAAGCAGCCAGCTTTCAAAAGTGTCTTTGTTCAATAGCACCATCAGTCTCAGAGTACAGCACATAGTGAAGGACCTCTAATGTTCAGTTAATTCAAAAAATAAAAGGAAAGGAATATGGGTTCAGCTGGATGAGGATACAGATAATATTAATGATGCTTACTTGATTTGCTATGTACAGTTTATAGATAGTAATAAGATTGTAGAAGACATTCTCTTTTGTAAAAGTATCACTGCTCATGCTGAGGCTCAAGACTTGTTCAAGATCCTTGATATTTTTATATCTGAAAATAATCTGGAGTGGACCAAATGCATTGGTATCTGCACTGATGGTGCTCGTTTTATGTCCAGATATTATGGAGGATTGCAAACACTTTTTCAAAGCAAAGACCCTATTGCACTATGGACCCATTGTGTTATTCACAGGGAAGCACTCGCATCAAAAGATCTGAGTCCTACATTGAACTAGGCCTTAGAATATGTAGTAAATGTAGTAAACTTTATAAAAACTTGGCCTTCAATTTGAAGGCAAGATTTACAAAAAACTATGTGAGAATATGGGATCTGAGCACATGTCTTTGTTGTATTATAGCACTTCAAGAAAGTACAAAATGTTACCACTAGAGAGCGATGGCTCATTCGAGGTAATTTTTTGTTTCATATGTTTGAACTGCAACAGGAAATTTATATTTCTCTTAAAGAGGCTGACCACAAGTATGACAAAAATTTTGTGAATGAAGAATTTTTGGCAAATTATCATATAAGTATGCTAGTTTTACCAAAATAAAACTAGCATAGTTATATGATATTTTGAAAAGCTGAATGCTCTGAATCTCTCCCTGCAGGAAAGCAACATGCACCTTTTAAAGTCAATTATGAAAATTTCAACTTTTATAAAAATTAATATATGGAAAAGGAAAATAAATGAAGACGGAAGAAAAGAATGTTTCCCCTTTTAACAGTTTTTGACCTCCAATGGAGTTGATTTCGCTCGAGGTATGAAATCTATTTTTGAAGAATATTTATCACAGCTTATCTATCACCTGGTTTGAGAAATATTTTCAAAATGATAATATCAATAAATTTGCATGGATTCAAGATCCATTTAATGCTAGTGCTCTATCTGAATTTACTGCTGCAGAAGAAGAAAATCTTATTGAGTTGTCTTGCAACAATACATTGGAAACAAAATTTAGCAACATGGAGTTAACTGAATTTTGGATATAAGTAAAAGATGAATATCTCTTCTGAGTGATAAAGCTCAGAGAATCTTAATTCCATTTGGGACTTCTTATTTGTGGAAAGCTGAGTTTGTTGCTGTGATAAAAACCAAGCATTGCACAAAAGTCAATGTGGAGAAGGAAATGAGGGTGGCTGTGTCCACTTTGATTCCAAGATTTGAGAAAATGTGCAATGATCAACAGGCTCATCCAGCCCATTAATTATAATTAACTAAATTTTTTCAATTACATTTTTTTGTCATCTTAAATATATGTTTTATTTATTTTTTACTTAACATCCTAACTCTTTAATTTAAAAAATNATCATATTTTGCACTTGGTTTGATTTTTAAAAACATAGAAGAAAATAAAATTAAAAATAAAAGAAAGTTTTTGAAAACTTATAAATTATTTATATATATTTGTAAAAGGTTTTGGATTTATTATAATATCGTTGAATAATTAATCTTCAGTTTTCTTCACAATAATATCTGTAATAAAACATAGCCGATGTATGAAAGCACTCAATTCTTGGAAGGTATTGAGAAAATAGGAACGAATTATAGTGAGCATGTTATAAAATTGAGCGTGCTATAAAACAACAAGTAGCTGTTACGTGATCTGTGCAAACCAATACTGTACTCCACTATAAAGTTGCAGTTTTTATGCTTATCCCATGAGAAATACGAATCGTTGATTTCATTAGCCATTGTTTGGAGTTTGCCAAATATACAGGTATGGGCAAACTATAATGTAGACTGCCCTCCAGACATTCTGTACTCCTGTTGCACTTAAACAATTAAGAAATGAAGAGCTTAAAATCTATCCCGGTGTGATACGTCCGCTGTGCTGACCCCTCTGGAAAAACCAAACCACTGGAGCGTATTTTATACATTAAAATTACTTTTATATTGATACTTCATTTTTATCATGTCATTACTATATTTCTCTTCTGTCATGATGTTTCAGTTAGACCAGGGATCATGAAACTTTTTTCACAGTGGGCCAGATAACTGAGAGAATGACTAATGTGGGCTGCATTAATTAACAATTCTCATCATCATCATCATGGGTGTTCTGCCCTAGGACAGGTCCATGGAAAGCAGTCAAATTATAGAATTCTCCTTCTCCAACATTGTCTATTTTGGGCTTCCTCTTTCATTTCTTTATAAGTTTTGCCTAGTAAAACATCATCTATCAATACTTTTCTTTTTCTCTATTTCCTTACATCAATTTTTCCTTCAAATGCCACTCGCATTTATCCTTCTCGCAATATATGATCTAGACAGTTATTTTTTTCTTCTTTATATTGTTTTTAAAAGAGATCTCTGTTCCTGGGCCAAATTTAAAACATCTTCATTCTTAATTTAACCCTTTCTGTCCACTTGATTTTCTCCATTTTTTGCCATAACCACATTTCATATGCTTCAAGATTGTTTTTTTTTTTTTTTCTTTAAGGTCCAAGTCTCTGCTCCATATAAAGTTGTGCTCCAGGAAAAGCATTTTATTAACTTCTTTGTAAGTATTTGGTTCATTTTTCCAATAAGAAGGTTCTTCTTATAAAAAGCCATTTTTCCAGTCCTGATTCGTTCTTTGATTTCTTTTTCACATCTGCCATCTCCCTGAATAATGCTGCCAAGATACCTAAAATGTTGAACTTGCTCTATTTTGTTTCCATCAATTAGGATTTTCAAATCTTTGCTAATCAGCCTTCCAACTTTCATCACTTTTGTTTTAGCTATGTTAATTTTCATTCCAAATTTTTTGCAAGTTTTGTTGAGTTTTGTTTCCAAACATTGTAGAGTTTGTTCATTTGGTGCAAGTAAAGCAATATCATCTGCAAACCTAATACTTTGTATTAATTTAAAAAACCTAACTCCATCCATTGGTAAGGCTAATTTGTTTCTATGACTTTTAGCTGATAGTGCATTACTTTAATAGTTAAGCAAAACACAAAGATTCAGATTCAAAGGAAAGTGATAAGTGTAGCATTTTGAGTGTACATAATTTGGAAGTGAAAACAGAACTTAAATATCATTGCTACAATGGAGACTTCTGACAAGAAATATATTGACTTGACATGAATTGTATTGGTGACTAACAAAAAACATTGCAGAATCTAGTTGGATGATGCAACAGATGTGAACTTCATTCAACCTTCATTATCAGTGACCATGCTGATTTCTGGTGATGCAAAAGTGTCTGATAATGAAGATGCAATTCACTCTATCCTTTCCACTTTAGCACATAACATCTAAGAGTTGGATGTACGAACTGAAGTACATGTGAAGAAAAAGACAATAAAACGACAAGGAAGAATTGACGTTCTGATAATTTGTGGGACGACAGGAATAATAATTGATCTGAAGTTTAATCCTAAAGATTAACAAAGTGCTCTTGCTCAAATTTTTGATACTGGCTATGCCGACATATTTAAAGTGACTGAACATGCAAATATTATTAAGAAGGTGTATGTAGTGCTGTCTTTCTATGATAAGAAGGGAGATAAAAAGAATGTTATACTGTAATGTATACAGTAGACAGTACTAACATTGAAGATGCGTACACTGTTATTAGAGCTGAAGAAGACTGAGGTCCACATTAATATATAAGTGAATGATACTGACATCAGTATGAAAGTTTGTGTCTTTGTGTAAATCTGTGTAGCTGTTATCAACTTTTCAAACAGTTTGAAGAATACTATAAATGTTTGAAGGAAGATATAGTAGATAAGCTGATGTTCATAAATAAGTTTGTCAATACCATAAATGTGTGTGCTTTTCTTACTTTATCTGATGTTATTTTAGCTTGTTGTATACTGAAAAGTAAGTACTTGATTATCATATTTTGCACTTGGTTTGATTTTTAAAAACATAGAAGAAAATAAAATTAAAAATAAAAGAAAGTTTTTGAAAACTTATAAATTATTTATATATATTTGTAAAAGGTATTGGATATANAATAAAAAACAGCTCAGATCTACAGCAATTTTTAGCATAATATTGCAAATTTAAAAATTACTGTAAAAACCAACAAATATTGAGCAACAACGGTGTAGTTTCGGATTCTTGAGATGCGCAGTTGAGAGGTTAACTCCTGCCCCCCTTAATCCACCGAAGTTTGGGGCTCTAGGGGGGTTGAAGTTCCACTGAATGTTTTCTGATGACAAATAATTAGCCAATTTTTCATCTGGCTTATTTACCGTATTGTACAATTGTTTCAATTCTGCCTGGGCTCCAATAAATGTTTTTGCATTGTTTGTAAATAAGGCACCAAGCCATGGTTCGTTGAAGTTTTAAAAATGATGATATTTTAGACATGACAGGCAGCTCTTCTATGCTTGTGCTAACATTACAAGTAGCATGTTTATGCTCCTCCCTTAATGCTGCCTCACAAATAGGTATTGATATATTCTTGGTGAATTGTATGTCATTGGACATCAGCCATTCTGGGCCATTTTACCATAAGTCATGTTCTACAAGTTCTGAAGGTAAGAGTCCATGTGATGCACAATCTGCAGGATTTTTGTTTCCGTCAATGTGATTCCAATTTTCCGCAGGCAAAATAGATTGTATTTCTGATACTCTGTTGGCGACGAATACTTGCCACCTAGAAGGATCAGCCTTTAACCAAGAGAGCACTATGGTTGAATCACTTCATGCAAATATAGAATTAATTTTAATCTGAAATGCACCTTGTATTGCTTGCACGAAATGAACTAATAAAACTGCTGCACATAATTCCATCCTTGGAATTGAAATAGGTTTTAACAGTGCTACACGAGTCTTCGATGCTAGTAGTCTAACCCAAACATTAGATTCATCTGATGATCGCACATACACAACTGTTCCGTAGCCCTTCTCTGATGCTACACAAAATGCATGTAAATCAACGGTCGTGTAATTAGGTAACAGCATTTTTCTAGGAATTTCGATTGACCTCAACTGTCCTAATTCCTTGCAAATAATCTTCCAATTATGATCAATATATGGAGGCACAGGTTCATCCCAAGATAGTTTAAGCCTCCAGATTTCTTACAGTAACATCTTAGTTAATATTACAAAGGGGGAAATCCAACCCAATGGGTCAAATAACCTTACAATAGATGAAAAAATTGTTCGCTTAGTTGACTTGCACTGATGATGTTTGAACTCAAAGTTGCATCTGAAAATATCTTCTCTGGGATGCCACTCTAGACCTAAAATCCTTATCACTTTAGTTCCACTAGTTGTATGAGACATGTCATCTAACGAAATGCTATGCACATCCTTTAATATAGATGGTTCACTTGTGAACCATTTGTGGAGCTCAAATCCACCTCTACCTAATAATTGAATTAATTCATTAATCAGTTCATTACCATCTCAGAGTTGTTTACATCAGTCAACATGTCATCCACATAGAAATCTTGCAATACTATTTTTGAGGCTCTCGGAAACTCTACACTCTCATCAATCACTAACTGCTTCAAAGCTCTCGTAGCCAAATATGGAGCTGATGTTGTTCCATAGGTGACTGTGTTAAGACGAAAAGTTTGTATTGTCATTTCTGAACTCTTTCTCCAAATTATTCGTTGAAAGTCACAATCCTCAGGTCTAACTTTCACCTATTGATACATCTGTTTTATATCAGCTGTTATTGCAATATTGTGACAACGAAATCTTAAAAGAATACTAATCAAATCTTCCTGGGTTTTTGGACCAATCATTAAGGTATCATTAAGTGAAATATCTGATAAAGATTTTGTGCTGCCATCAAACACTACTTGGTCGTTAAACTTGATTCCATTATTATATAATGATGAGGGATATAATAATGTTGATTTTCTAAGTTTCTATAATTAGGTGAGATTAACTCCATGTGTCCTAACGACAAATATTCTTGCATAAATTGTAGGTACTGATTATAGATATTTGGCATCATAGCAAGTCTCCTTTCTAAACTGTAAAGTCTTCTAAGGACAGCAACACGAGAATCTCCTAACGCCTTTCTATCGGGTTTAAAGGGTAACGCAACATAATATCGTCCATGATCATCTCTCCAAACATATTTCTCGAACTGAATTTCACACAACTTTTCCTTAATATAGAAAAAGAATCATAATTACTTTATTTTCATTTAACTTAAATAAATCAGATTAATTGAAAAATAAAGAAAATAGCAAGACTTTTCAGGATGCAATTTATTTAAAAATTATTCATTGTTCTTGTGATATACAGTAGAACCTCGATTATCCGGACTAATTGGGGATGAAGGTAGTCCGGATAAGGGAAAATCCGGATAATGGAAAAAAACAACAATTGGCAGTGAAAGACATGTACATACAATATGAATAATCTTTATTTGTCTAGATTTACATATACTGTAGCTTCAATATTATTAAATTATTTTTTATTAAGAAATTCAATTATTGATTTTTGTTTAAAGCTAGCAATTCTTTTTGAAGCTGCTAAATCGCGAATACTTTTAAGACATATAAGTTGTCCTGAGTTACACTCTTCTTGGCTCTCAAACCACTTCATGGCGACATCTAAACACTGAAAAGCTTCAGAATGTGTAGGACCAATATCTCTTACTTCGCAAATCTCTTCTTCGTCTTCTCGATCTTGTTCATCTGAGGCAGATATTTCTTGAATTATTTCCTCTTCACTCAAAATTTGCAATCCAGGATCGTTCACATCGCAATTTAACCACTCGGATACATCTTCTTCGTCACATTCAGCACATATTGAAATTTGTGTTATTACTTCCGCAATGTCTCCTATACCACTTTCTACTGTGTTTTCTACTATGTTACTGAAATGTTCTAATGGTCTTTTCAAAATTTTGTTCCATGATTTTCTCAAAGTTGATACATCTACAGAATTCCAACTCTCTGCTGCCATGTAGCAACAGTCTTTTAAATTTATTTTCTTATGGAAGCTAATAAAAGTTTCTTCGTTATTTTCGTCTGCTAGCAATAATCGTCGAAGCATCTGTTTTCTATATAAGCGTTTTACTGTTTCTATCACACCCTGATCCATCGGTTGTATTACTGATGTGACATTTGGTTGACGAAATTTTACTGTAAACATTTCATCGATCTCTTTTAAACATTCTATAGATGGGTGGGACGGTGCATTGTCTGATGGGTGGGACGGTGCACTGTCTAGTAATAATAATGTTATTCCTCTTTTATCTATGGAGTTTTGATATTTTTTCACTTCTGGAATGAATTGCTTTTCGTACCATCGTTTAAAAATTTCTCCATTTATCCAGGCTTTTTTCTGATGGTCATATTCAACTGGAAGACTTCTGATATTTTTAAAGCATCTGGGGTTCTTTGATTTCCCAATGACAAGCAGTGGAAGTCTGTGTCTGCCTGTTGCATTGGCACATACCATAATGGTGACACGTTCTTTACTAGTTTTGTATCCTGATGCAGTATTTTCACGCCTTGATGCTAAAGATTTGTTGGGTAGTTGCTTCCAATTTAAACCGGTCTCGTCAGCATTGTAAATAAATTCTTCGTCGAATCCTTCCTTCTCCACGAACTCCTTCAATGTGTCAATGAAAGTGTTTGCTGAAGGTATATCAGCAGACAGCTTTTCCCCGTGAACTTCAAGTTCCCTGATACCATGTCGTCTTTTGAATTTTTCTAGCCAGCCCGAACTTGCTTTGAAGGTGGGATCTCCATTTAATCTTGTATTGAAAAATATTGCTTTTTCACACAATAATGGACCAGATATTGGCTGTCCACATGATCGTCTTTGTATGAACCACATAAACAAACACTCTTCAACTTCTTCATTTCTTGATTTTTTCATAACTTTACGGTCTGATGTTCCATCTTCTGACATTAAACAATTAGTAAACTTCATAATTTTTTCACTTTGTTTTTTTATATCTGAGATCGTTGACGTTCCAACACCATATTTATCAGATAAAGAACGTCCAGATTCACCGCGTTTCAAAGCATTGATTATATCCAATTTGTCTTTTAATGATAACACAACGCGTTTTCTTTTTGATGACATATCGGTAATATTAAAAATAAATATCGTATTTAAATTGTGATGAAATTTTCAAGAAGAAAACGTTCGTATTAAATTTGGACTACAGTACTACTAATCAGCACTAACACACTGCCTGTTGTTTAAAGGCCCTCTGGTGACACAAGAAGACGAATTTTATAAAATAAAAAGCAGTTGAAACTGTCTAATTTTATTCATTAAAATGCAAACTATTTATCGTTTTATGACGAGTAAAATGTATTAAAAAGTTTACGACCATTGTGCTGGGTAAGACGTTGTTGAAACAAAAAAAGTTATGATTCCATCACGTACATAAACAGTATCGTAATTTGCCAATTGCAAATCAGTAAATTCGAAAAATTTTTGTTTATTTTGAACAATCCGGATAATCGAAAATCCGGATAATGGAGGTTCTACTGTATTGGCTATTTCACTATTTTGCAAATTAGAATTTGACATTGAGAAAATCTTGCACCTTGGGAAAATCTGGATTTAGCAAGGGTGCCAATAATCAAAAAAGTTTGGGAACTACTGGTCTAATAGTTACATTTTCTATTTTTGATATTTGTTAATGTAATTTAGATCTGGTCAATGAGTCTTTTCTCATATGAGCTACTCATAATAAGTAAAGAAACTTATTAATGATATTTAAATTGTGGGGTGGCCTGCTTTTGACAGTGCTGGTTGTTGGTGTGTTTTTTATGATTTACTGTTACGATCTATAGTTTAACTGTTTGCCATTAATTGATGTTATTGAGGATGTCTTTTTCTACCATAATACTTTCTTTTTTAATTTTGTTCTTTTTACTTATTATTGGAGTGGTTGAACTTAATCCAGGCCCGATGTCTCATACACCAACTTCTTATCCCCATAATAAAGCTTTGACTTCTACTGGCAAATGTCATCGATTGCCAACGAACCAACATTGAAATTATCTCGACTGGACGATTATTTTGCATCACAGGATATTTCTTCTTAAATACCTCAAAAGATTCTGTATTTTCTTGAGGAATGCTTTGATACTATTCTATCGAAACTGGAAGAATTGTCATCAAAGTTCAACTGGTTGTCTAATTTATATAAGGAGTATGAAGAACGACTAACCTGTCTGGAAGGAGAAGTTATCAAACTTTCGACTTTTAGAACTGTATTGTATGTATGGATAATTTCTCTCTTCAGAATTATTATATAGACTCTGTATACAACAATTTGAAGAAAAATAACATTATTGTTTCTGGTTTGAGTAGCAGTGATGAAGAATTAGTTAATAATGCTGACAGCTTTATTGAGTTGTTTAAAAGACAGAACGGGAAGTCTATTCCTTTCATTAACAATTATCAAATATCAGGAACTCCGCTTGTATTGTTTGAGCTTCTATACTCAAGCTGACAAAAGAATTTTCTTTTAAATTTTTACAAATTTAAAAGAAAATTCAGGAGTTGCTGTACATTAGAATTTTTGATGATTTGTTATACAGATCAAGACTGTACAAGGCATACAAAACTGCCTTTTTTTTTTGCAGATGCTAAATCTTTGAAAAAAGAGCATTTCTGAAAGCNCAAAAAAAGTTATGATTCCATCACGTACATAAACAGTATCGTAATTTGCCAATTGCAAATCAGTAAATTCGAAAAATTTTTGTTTATTTTGAACAATCCAGATAATCGAAAATCCGGATAATGGAGGTTCTACTGTATTTGAATAGGAAATTGGGTAACACACAAATTTCAGTGTTGCATGAAGAGAATTATACATTCAGAATAGCTCGATGATTGTTAATAAATTGTTACAAAATTATTTTAATGCCATTTCTCTTCCAATTATGATGATTAAAAATTTTTTGAATTCTTTAATTTTTTTCAGTTTTGTTTTTTTCAAGAAATGAAAATTAGACCGTAAATTTCGGAGAGCATTTAAACTCTAATTTTATGAGTAGAATTCATAAATCTGTTTTCTGTATAAATATTATCTTAACATAAATTTGATATAAAGATAATAAAAGCTGGAAATTACATAACTTTTCTTATTAATTTAAGATTGAACTTAAATATGTATATGATATTTAAAAAAAACTTATGTTAATGAAAACAAGTGAAATAATGGTAGTTATAAAGGTTTTAAAGAAATTATCAATGTAATTGTTTTGACGGATAAGATTTTGTTGATTGATTGTTTTGGTTCCATTGCTTGTATATTTATTTTGAATATAATTGATTTGGATAGGAACTGTAAGAAAAATTAAAAACAGTACTTAATAAAATTTTAAATGTATTCCCATTTTAAAAAGATTACACACTTCATTTTTTTCAGAAGCTAGAATATCTCGTTTTTATAGAGGAATCATTTATCATTATATCTTCATTTTTTTCATATGTAGATGTTATATTATCTGCCTTTCATTCATTGCTGTTATTTTATTTGTTTCCATTTTCCATGTGTTGTTTTTAAGAAAGGTTTCAAAATGGTGCTTTAATGTATGTTCATATTTAAAATAACAATTACAAAACTCGCATAAATAATTTTTTTTTGTTATTATTGGTCATTGGATGTCTCCTCAGCTCAGATATAGATTGAAAACTTTTTTTACTTTCTTGGCAATGGAACATTATCTGCTTTTAAAAAATTAGTTAAGTAAAAATAATTTATTAACTTAAATAAAAAATTATTATAGTAACATAAATTTATGTGATATGTTAAAATCTTATGGTAAAATGTATAATATGTACTGATTATAGTAACCTAACTACTATAATTCTGACCTGAGATTAAAATTGAAAATTTCTTGAACTTCGAATAAAACACTTTGCCAAATTACAAATGTATTTCACATAATAAATAGAGTTTACTTATGAATAATAATTTAAATTTTTTAAAAAAGTTATGGAAAAGCTTCTAATAAGAAAGCTTCATCTAATAATAATTTTTGAACAATGTTAGAAAGAATAATGTTATGCTTTTATTGTTACTTAAGAGTAAACAATTGTGCACATCTCTAAACATGAGAACAGTTGGAAATCTCAACTTCAAATTAAAAAACTAAATTTAATAACTAAATTAAAATAAGTGGCATGAATATGGCAGCTCTCCTGTGTGATTTCTCATGTGTCTTCTTAGTTAAAGCAGCGAGATATGGGATAAGTTTTGTGCAATACGGCTTATCTTAGGGTCATCCAACGAAATCTATATATGGATTGATTTATAAGTTAACAATATATCAAAGCATAAAATATAACTTAATAAGTAAGATTGTTTTATTTATGGAAATGAATGTTTGTGAATCACTAATTTGTACGATTTATAATTTTAAAACTTTGTTCATGTTTTCATAAAAAAAAGGTATGTTTATGGAAATTATTTTATAAAAATGCCACTGACAAGTCTTTAATAACTATTTGTTTAGATCTTTTTATTATTGATATTTGCAATTAAGCACAGTTGTGCAACAAGTATTGGAAGTTTATTTGAATTTAATTGTAATTCACTATTGAAATATTATACAATAACATGTTTTGTAATTTTAATATCCTGAATATGCATTTAACAACAAAAAAGTTTCTTGTGTTTTAACTTTGTATAATGGAAATAAAAACACGTAAACAATATATGATTTGTTTATAAATAGGAATAACTATTATAAAAATAATAATTGCGAAGGAATATTTTTTTCACGATATAATAATGAAAACATACCTTTACTAGAACTCATATCTAAATACAGTGGTACCTCAGGTTACGAACGCCCCAGCATACGAAATTTTCAGGATACGACATGAAATTCGAACATATTTTTGCTCCACGATACGAATAAACGACGTTACATTAGTTCGCATTTTTCATTTGTTCTTCTTACTACAGTTATTTTTTTAATGTATTACTTGGCTTTAATTTGAGTATGTTTTTCGCGTTGGAACGAATTATTTGGTTTTACATGTAATCGTATGGGAAAAGATGATCCACCTTACGACATTTTCATGATACGATCTCAGTTTCGGAACGGATTAATTTCGTATCCTGAGGTACCACTGTATATGTAAATTGGTAGACCTAATGCTATTGCGCAACTATAAATAGATATGGAATTAGCCCAAATATCTGTGTGCGAAATTGATAGATATTGCTTTGCCACATTAAAAAGTTGTTGCTAACACTTATTCCGCAGGCCATGTGATCCAAAGTTACCTGCATTTGATTCTTTTCAATCAGTAAATGCATGCTGCTTTTATATTTTATGAAATAATAAAGTGTGCATAATTGATTAATTCAACAAAAGTCCTATCTCTGAACAGAATTACTGACATGGATGAATAAAAAGAATCGCCATCACCTAAAACATAAACAGGATAAAAATTCAGTTAAAAATAAAGGATGTAGTATCTTATAACTGGGATAATCTATTTCATATTTCACTTTATCAAAACCACTAATCCTAGCATTTCGAAGTAATTTTATCATTATATTTTTCGAGAATTGCTGATACACTTGCTAAAGTACTCGTACATAGCAATTCTTCTAAAATATTTTTTGCATCAGTTTTTAATTTCTTGTTTTCTTATATTGTTTCCATTACTTTGTAGATTTTTATTATGAACTATATTACTTTCTATATTTTTATTAAGATATACCTTATTTTTTAGTTTTTTATTAGCAACTACATTATTTTTACATTTTTATTTTACACTCCTCAAAATTATATACGTTTAATTTCTGAATCTTATAGGCAGGTTCATATTCTAATGATGGCAATTGCCTTTTTGCCTTTACCATTCCTGGATATATTTGTTTAATATGATTTAGGAATGTTTATAATAATAAATTACACACACCTGATTTGTATTTGCCAAGTTATTTTTGTTTATTTGAACGTTTTCGGCCAATTTGTATAGGCCATTTAGATTTAGGAATGTTTTAAATCTAAACCAAAATCATTGATAAATTTCCTTCCTTTATTTTTAAAATACCTCTCAAAATATAAAATTTTCCTAAATACTGATCCACCATTTTA